GTTGCTATGAGTTGGAACTGATGCGACGGTACTTAACAACAACAATAACAATATATGGCAGATACGAGATGAAAGCATATATTGAAACTACGTTATTTAAATACATGTCATTTTACCTGTTATCCTATAAGGATGATACTAATAGGATTCTGGGTGGACAAGCAATCGACGATTGGATCTATGATAGAAAGCCCAGGAAATCTACTTCATAGATTTGCTGTTATTGCTATGTTCCATTAAGTCGGTTCAGTCTCACAGGGACCCTGGATAGGATTTCCAAGGAGTACCTGGTGGGTTTGAATTGCAAACGTTGTGGGTTGCAGTCCAGTGCTGCTCCTACAATACCACACAAAGAAAACCCTATAGTTCTGTTCTGTAACCCATGGGGTCACCATGAGTTGGTAGCCCACTCGACAGCAGCCAACAAGAACATCTGAGGCGATGCACATTAGGATAAAAATTCTGTCTTGTTTAATTACACATGACAGAGACAGACAGACACAGAGAAGCTCTGGAGTCAGCCTGACTAGTGAGTCCTCCCAGCAATCCTAGTTGCTGGCATGCTGACCATTAGGATTACTAGGGGATGGCACCTTCTGAGTCAGTGCTTCCTCCCTGCTTCTTCCAGAAAAATCTGCTTTAGGTAAGCTCTGCACTGAAAATGAATGGACTAGTTAGTGCTTTACTTAACCAGTGAAAAATGAGCTTTGTTTCTTCTATCTATAGTCCAGTTAACTAAAGGCAGAAGACAAAGGATCTTCAATTAAAGTTGCTAAATCCCACATATATAAAGTATGAGAAAAAGCAAGGGAGCCCAGGATTTGAAATCAGATTACCATGGGATTATAACTGCGTCCTGGGTTACAGGGAAAGCCCATTGCATGTAAAGCGTTCTAGGCAGCAAGTCGCACATGCTGAGTAGGAGTGGTAGTATTTCTGAGCGGTGGAGTTGGGCTAGCAGACAGAGGAGTTTCTGGGGGTGCCTTCACAAGGCTTGTCAGTCATCCTGGGCCTGGGTTCTGTTCCTGCCCTCACAGTGTTGCCCAGTCCCGAGATTAGTTTGAAACCATCCAGAAACGAAGCTTTTTGTAGTCTGGGCCAATGACGTCCTCTCCCAGAGTTACTCCAGATAGGAAAAGACACCTTTTCCTCCTGGGTCAGTACCCACATCCTGAATGTGGCGCTGACTCTGCACAGGAAAATCCTTTAGAGATAGGGGCTGGGTGGGAGCCTTTTACAATGACATTCACCTTTTAAAAGACATTTGGCCCTTTGTCCCTCTCAGTGAAACAATTAGTCTCCAAAGGTTTGAGCTAATTGTTTGAGTTCGTTGAAGCGAACAGGACATTTCTTTAAATATTCAGAGTTAGATCCCAGCTCCATCCTCATTTGCTGGGATGGCTGTCCTTAGAGGTGAGGAAGTTGAGCTCGGGGTTGGGGTGGAAGTCAGGGAGGTCTCCATATGCCTAGAATAAAGCCCCACAATGAAGCCATAAACTGAAAAGACATCACCTTAGCCGACTTCTGAAAGACTTCAAAGTGCTGAGCGTTCTACCCTGAATTCCCCCCCCCTCCCGCCGCCCTCCCCCCCCATCCCACTCCCAACCTCGTCAAAGGGGCTCCTGCGCTATGAAGAGGAACTCCTCTGGAAGGTTGGAACAAGTGCAAGCACACGCTGTCTCTCCAAGGGGGATGACAAAGAGACACTGCATTTCTTTGGTACTCTGAGTCCTCTTACTTATTGACAGGGGCAAAAGGGAGTGGGGTGGGGTGTGTAGAGTGGCACCTGGGGGTCCTTCCACTGTCCACCTCTTGTGGCTGGGCCCGCCACCCTGGATAGTCACAGTCCGGTAGGCTGCGCCCAACCCAACCCCTCCGCTTTCCCTGGGGCCCGGGCAGAGCGGGGAAGCCCTTGTCCCAGCGGCGCCGACTCAGCCACCGGCTCCAGAAGGGACCCAGGCCGGGGCGGAGCCGCGGCGCAACTCGGAGAGCGCCCCCGCCTGCGGTCCAGCGCGGCTCACCCTCCAGTCTCGGCGCCCGAGTCCACGCAGTCATCCTCCTCGCCGCCGAAGCCGCCGCCCACCTTGGGGTCCATGGCTGGTCTGCTGGTCTCCGTCCGCACTCCGTCCGCAGGCTTTGGCGCGGTCAGCGGCTCGCTGACTCCCGGCCGCCCCGCCCAGCCCGGCCGGGCCCTGGGAGCGACGCGCAGCCCAGTTCCGAAAACAATTCGGGCGCCCCCTGAGCCCCTCGCCGCGCCCTCTCCTGGCGGCGCTCCGCCGGCACCTCTGCTCCTCCGCGGCCGAGGTGGCGCGGGGGTGCGCGTGCCCGCGGGGGCGTGTGTGTGTGCGCGCGCCCGTGGGGGTGGGAGAATGTGTGGGAGGCCGCCGGGGCCTGTTTGTATCGTCTGTGGTCTGTGTATGTGCGTGTGGGTGTGCGTGTGTGCGCGCGCGGGCTTGTGCTCGGTGTGCGCTTGAGCGCTGGAGAGCTGTCCTCTCCCTTGGGCCTCACAGTCCAGAGCCTCAGAGATTGCCCAAGGTTCCCAGGCTGGCGCTACTACTACCGGAGACGGCTCTGGTGAAAGCAGCCAAAGATGTTTCCCTTCGGGAACCGGTTCGAACCCTTAGTGTTTCCTCAGAAGTGCTAATACTGAATTCATTATCACTTTTTCTCAGCACAGGTTTGTGTGGCTTGTTAGACAATGCGTGTAGTGTATTCTTTTGCTATTTTAAAATAAAGAGTTGAACCTGTAGTTTAATTCAACCTGTAGTTGAATTCAGTGGATGTTGCATTAAAGGAATAATAAAACCACTTGCCATCTAGCCGATTCTGACTCATGGCAACTTCCTATATGTCAGAGTAGTACTGTGCTCCATGTGATTTTCAGTGGCTGATTTTGGTAAGAAGATCACCAGGTCTTTTTCCTGAGGTACCTGTAGGTGGGTAGGCTCTAATCTCCAACCTTTCAGTTAACAGCCCAGTGCGTTTACTGTTTGCACCACCCAGGAACAAGGGGATAATAGTTTGCAAGAGCCCTCCCTCAGTTACTCAGGATGAGTCAGTGATTACCGATAGAAGGACTGGAGAGTCCATTCTCCCCTCATTCCCAGTCTCAACTTGCAGTTATCAGGAGGGACCAGTCCCTGGATGGTAAAGTGTGTGGTAAAGTGGAGAGTCAGTGAAAAAGAGGAAGACCTCCAACAATATGGATTGGCACAGTGGTAGCAGCAATGGGGATAGGGCAGGACCAGGCAGTGTTTTGTTCTGTTGTGCATAAAGTTGCCATGAGTTGGAATCCACTCAACAGCAACTAACAACAACATTTAAATGCCAGACGGGAGGGTGGACTCTGGATATACAAATAAGAGAAAACAATAACAGATCATGATCCCTGCCCACATGGAGTTTACAATCCAGAAGGATAAGACTAAGTAAATTTCAAATATTCAAATATGTATAAGATGAATATGGAAATAAAGAATATGAATTTAAATTGGAGTCTCAGGTACTGTGCTTTTGGGAAAGGATCTTTAAACCCTTTCTGCCTCAGGGCCTTTGCACTTTCTGTTCTTCTCCTTGGAATGCTTTCTTTTATTTTTTCTGCAACCTTCCTTCCACATTTCTTTCAGGAAAGCATTCAAAATGGCCCCTCATCAGAACAGCTTCCCTGTTCAGTCCTAGTTACAGTATCCACTTAGAGTGTTCTACGCTCTCTTATAACTCTACCAGCACTTGACATAGTAGACTTAGTTACTAATTATCTGTTCTCCCTTCTCCAACTCACCCCCAGAATGTCAGTTTCCTTTGAGCATGGACTCAGTCTGTTTGTTTGCTGTTGTATCCCTAACACCTGGAACAGTCTCTGTTGCAATAGCCCCAACCTGGAGACAGGGACAGTATGCCAGGGGGGGAGCCCAGAAGGTGTGAGGCAGTAAAGGTCAAGGATCATTCATTAAAGAGGGAGTGCAGGACAGCTGGGTAATCGGAACTACACAAAATGGCAAAGATAATGGCAAGGACTTGGACATTTCTATATGAATGTGACATCTTCACATTATAGACTACTATAGCATATTTGGAGTCTGGGTGTGGTGTTGTAGGATAGGCATTGGACTGAAAACCACAAGGTCAGCAGTTCACACCCATCAACTGCTCCTTGAAAACCTTATACAGGGTCATTATGAGTTGGGACTGACTCAATGACACTTAACAACAACAACAGCATATTTAGAAAGTAAAGGACTAATCCTAAATCAATGAAAACAGGTTAAAATGTGCCAGATTTAACAGTTACAACAGATCAAAGTGTCAGAATACATCTGTATAATGAACTATTGGATCTTGTTCACTGCCTGTCTATGATGCCTTGTACTTTGCTATGATGCTGGAAGCTATGAGATCAGAATTTCAAATACCAGCAGGGTAGCCCGTGGTGGACAAGGCTAAGACAGACTAGGAAGCTCTACCTCCCCAAATCAGCCAATGAAAACCCTGTAGTGTTGGAAAGGTCATAAATTCAAACCCAATAGCCACTCCTTGGAAACCCTAAACAGGGTCGTTATGAGTCAGAATAAACTTGATGGCACTTAACAACATACTATTGGAAGATGAGCCCTCTAAATTGAAGACACTCAAAAATACACACTGTCCACAGTAGTAATCTCAAGCATTTCAACAATCCTGAAGAAGACACGGCAGGACAATGTTTTGTTCTGTGGTTGTGGGGTCACCATGAGTCAGAGCAGACTTGATGACTACTAACAAGTACAACCATCTTGCCAACATTCCAGTCTAGCTTCAAGTATTTTGCATAGGAAAAAGTCACATGTGTTACCCAATTTAATCCCACCACTTGTCTGTCAGTTTGTCATACTGTGGTGGCTTGTGAGTTGCTGTGATTCTGAGGGCTATACCACCGGTATTTTAAATACCAGCAGGGCCACCCATTGTGTTTCAGATGAGATTCCAGACGAAGACAGACTAGTAAGAAGGAGTGACAAACTACTTCTGAATATTTAGTCACTGAAAACTTTAGGAATAGCAGAGAAACACAGTCAGCTATAGTGCCAGAAAATGAGCCCCTCAGGTTGGAAGGCACTCAAAATGTGACTGGGGAAGAGCTGCCTCCTCAAAGTAGAGTGGACCATGATGATGGGACCTTCATTTGCTGATGGGGCACAACTCAAAATGAAGAGAAACAGCTATAAACATCCACTGAAAATCAGAACATGGAATGTACGAAGTATGCATCTGGGAAAATTGGAAGTTGTCAAAATGAAATGGAATGCATAAACACTGATATCATAGGCATTAGTGAGCTGAAATGGACTGGTATTGGCCATTTTGAATCTGACAACCACATGGTTTACTATGACGGGAATGACAAATTCAAGAGGAATGGTTTTGCATTCATTGTCAAAAAGAACATATCCAGATCAGTCATGAGGTACAACGCTGTCTGTGATAGAATAATATCCATGCACCTACAGGGAAACCCAGTTAATACCACTATTATTCAAATTTACGCAACAACCACTAAAGCCAGTGAGGATGAAATAAAAGAATTCTACCAATTTCTTCAACCTGAAATCGATCAAACATGCAATCAAGATATATTGCTAATTACTGGTGATTGGAATGCAAAGGGTGGGAGCAAAGAGGAAGGATCAGTAGTTGGAAAATATGGCCTTGGTGATAGAAATGATGCTGGAGAACGCATAATAATAGAATTCTGCAAAATCAATGATTTGTTAATTTCAAATATCTTCTTTAGACAGCATAAGAGATGACTATACACACGGACCTCACCAGATGGAATACATATAAATCAAACTAACTACATCTGAAGAAAGAGACAATGGAAAAGCTCCAAATCACCAGTCAAAACAAGGCCAGGGCAGATGAGAAGACCATCAATTACTCACATGCAAATTCAAACTGAAGATGAAGAAAATG